TATACTAAGCAAATGTGTTGGATTATTGCACATAAAGCTGGTAACAAGTTGATTCATAAGAGGACACAAATATATTTTTGAATAATTAGAAAGGCTGAATTCTGAAATAACATAATGAGCTTGGTATTTTACTTTAAAGGCACTGCCAGATTCCTGAATTTGTTGCTTATCTAAAATAGTAAAAAGAGCCCCAGTTTTTACCAATGGTAGTTACTAGAAAGCAGGTCATCCAAAACAGTGTCACTGCCTTCCTTGTGTAAACTCAGTAAATCACTCCTTTTAAATTCCTACTGCTATGTTAGTAAATCACTCCAAAAAATCTTAGGATACTGGTGCTAGGCAGTAACTTGTGCTGTGCAGATCCTAATGTAATCTTATTCAGATCAGATGCTCAGTTAGAGGACTGGGATATGCCAGCAGTGAGGTCTGGCTAGTGCCAGTGAGCTGTGCTGAGAGTGAGGATACCTTTCTACCAAAAAATAAAAATTCAATTATCTAGCACTAGTAAAAAGGGTGGATTTCCTGTCCAAAAAATGACGTTTTTGAGTTTTTAACACTAAGTCTAGGCTATTTTTGTATCACCCAAGATAGTCAGTAAACCATCTTGTTGCAATGTGATTGATGTGTATTGATGCCAATTGCCAACAGCATCAATGTGTACCTATTTATGCTGTTGGTTGAAGTGTGACTTATGGAAGGAGGAGTAACTTATCGATTGTAGCAACTTCGTGTTGAAAGTCCTCCCCTTTTACTTTATTTCAGTGTGAAAACTGCCATGTCAAGTGGTGATCCAGCACCATTTTCACCAGGAGACTCAACTGTCTCCTCTGTAACAACATGTGCACTGGGAGTAGAAGGTCCAGACCCACCTACACTGAAGATGGTGGATGGTCAAGAATGCATGGATGCTACCAGTATCACTGCCTCAGAAGTGTTGGAAAATGGACTGTGTGCTCAGTTTCATCCTGTGGGAGTGCAGCAACAAGTCAAGATGCGCAATAATGGCTCTGATGTAGCAATTGTAGAAGGGCTGGTGGAAGGTTCTAATCACTCAGGGACTTTAGCTTTAGCAGTGGACAACTGAGCATGGCAACAAGTCATCAGTGAAGGAGCCAGCTGTCTCTGATGTTGTGGCACAAACAGCTTGGGTTCCTGCTAAACTGAAGATGGCGGAAGATGGCGGTCCGCTGACTGAGGCTGGTCCCTCCCCGACTACAGTGGCCACACTGACACAGCATGTGGATACTGAACAGCAGCCGACGGCCCCAGAGGCTGATTCGGCTCCTTTGGCTGTCTCAGCTGCGGTGTTAACTGCCAGGGAGCAGTCCGATGCCGCTCCGTCCTGCGGGGGACCCGGCTGACTAGCGCTGACGGTAGTTGTGGACGCGCGGCAGCGTCAGATCCGGTCAAAGAGCGCTCCCCATCCGCGGTCGGACCCCCGTCCGATCCATCGGCGACAGTAGGCGCCACAGCCGCTCCGGGAGGGACCGGACAAACCGTGGCAGAGACGACGGAGGGCTCGGAGGACCTGAGAGGGGCCGGGCAGTCAGCGGCAGAGAGTAGCGAGGGGTCGGAGGGCCTGACTGTCACCTGTGACCCGGCAGCGTGCAGCCTCAGCTCCGCAGCCGCTCCCGGCACGGACGCGCCATCGGCAGAGGGGAACGGCGCTGCACCTTCAGCCGACGGTGGTAAGGAGACAGCGTTTTCTTTAGTGGGTGTGGCCGCTGAACACAACCCACATTATTCAATTGATGAAACCAGCGTGACGATCCGTTGAAATCGACTCACTCTAAGGCACAGTTGTGTTTTTCGTTTATGTTCTCTTTGTTCTTAGCTTTGAAATATGCTGCAGAATCCTTAACACCAATGTGTGGTTTTTGTTTGTTTTTCCGTTTTTGGGTGCCCGTTTTGGTTGCTGATCAACGAACTTAATTTCTTGTATTTGACTTCAAGTTTACACTTTATGTTATTGTCCATTTACTTCTTTCGTTTTCGACTACCAGTCGTTAATTGTTCTCGTACGCTGATTCATTGTGTTTTGGGTATTATTGCGAAGCAGTTCTTATGGTCATTCACCGGATGTCGTTGAGTTCCCGTCTGATCAGCTGATTGTGCTCGTTTCAGCGGGCGCAGCTCGGAGCGGCGGAGAGGGCGCCGTCACCGTCCCGCCGCCGGACGGATCTGAGTCGGAGCTGCTGGCCATCGGCACCGTGCTGGTCTCGGGCGAGCGGCTGGTGTTCGCCTGCGCCGTGTGCTCGGAGGCGTTCACCTCGGCCGGTCGGCTGCGCTCCCACCACGGTCGGCAGCACGGACCGCCGCCGGAGCCCCGGGCCAGTCCGCCGCCGCCGGCCGAGGTCACCGTCGGCCGGCGCCGCCGCCGGCGGACCCGGTTCGTCACGACGGCGGCGACGGAGGATGAGGACTCTCCCGAGGAATACCCAGTGATGGACGTGGAGGACATGGCGGAGGGAGCGCGGCGCACCCGCCCGAGCCGCGGTCCCTCCACGTCCGGGGTGGCGTCGCTCAAGTGCGACCTGTGCGGGAAGGTGCTCTCCAGCGCCACCAAACTGGCCGTCCACCAGAGGATGCACTCCGGCGAGCGGCCCCACATCTGCACCTACTGCCCGAAACGCTGCAACGACCTCGGCAATCTGCGCAAGCACGAGCAGTTGCACTTCAAGGAGCGGCCGTTCCGTTGTGACACGTGCACCATCACCTTCTGGACGGCGATTCGACAGCGCGCGCACCGCTGTAAACTGGCACGGTCCCAGGACAACTCGGACGAGGCTGGCGATAGTATGGACATGACTGAGGCCGGGCAGAGCACGAGTACTGAGATTCCTGCTGAGTCCAAGGAGACGATGATACTGGACAGTGAAAATGTTCCGATGGAGCTGAGCGGGTCGGGCCTGCCAGCACTGGCTGCCGCCGCTGAGCTGGCGGCGGCACGGCCGCCCCGCGAGCCGTCACCGAAGCGCGAGCCGAACGCCAACTCTGGCCAGGCTCCGGTGGTACCTGTGGACTGTGACGTGTGCGGCCGCCAGCTGCGCTCCGTCTCCGGCTGGCAGCGCCACCGGCGGCTGCACGCCGGCGTCCGGCCGTACCTGTGCCGCTTCTGCGACAAAACCTGCAACGACAGTGGCAACATGCGCAAACACGAGGCCGGCCACTTCAAGGAGCGGCCGTACCGCTGCGACACGTGCTGCATCACCTTCGTCAACACGTGGCGGCTCGGCATGCACCAGTGCAAGCTGCGCGCGGACGGCGGGCCGCCGACGGAGGGCAGCGCCCCGTCGCCGACCATGTCGTCGGCCGCTGCGGAGGTGGAGGTGGAGGCAGTACTGGAGAGCCGGCCGGCGCTGCCGGTGCCGCCGCCGCGCGGCCGCCACGCGCCTCCCCCGCAGCTGGACGCGCGCGGCCGCCGCCGAGACCACGTCTGTCCCGTCTGCAGCAAGGCGATGCTCTCGTACGCCAGTCTGGAGATGCACTACCGCACGCACACTGGAGAGAAACCCTATCAGTGCGACGAGTGCGGCAAGCGGTTCAGCATCCAGGGCAACCTGGTGGTGCACGCGCGCATTCACACCGGAGAGCGGCCGTTCCAGTGTGACGAGTGCGGTAAGATGTTCATGTACCAGAGCCACCTGAAGGTACACAAACGGGGCCACAGCGGTGCACGCCCCTTTCGCTGCCAGTTTTGCCAAAAGGGATTCGCTGCGTCAAGCTCCAAGCGAGTTCACGAGCAAACAGTACATTCCAATGAGCGTAAGTTTATCTGCGAGGCATGCGGTGCCACCTTCAAGGAAAAGAAACATTTGAAACGGCACGGATGGAGGAAACATCAGATTGGCGAGGAGCCTGTTCTGTAGCCAGCCCGATGGGAAGTTGCCTTGACAACGGGCGGGCAAAAGCCGGTGCCGTTGATCCCCTTGCGCCAGTTTGGTTTCACTGTTTCTTTTGCCTGCTGTAACTTGTTTCTTTTGCCTGCTGTAGCATAATAACGTGTCAGCGTTCACTCAGTTACCTACATTATTTAGTTGTCGTATGTGCTCGTGGTACGACGCTTGTTCGTCTGTTCAGGTTTTCGTTGCCGGTTGTGAGTGTGACGAGCCGTGGTGGCTGGTGGTGTATCGACGTGTGGTGCGGACTGAATCTATCATATCGTTTGTTTGTGCTGTAGATGAAGCCAGTTCAGATGCAATAGTACGCCCCAATCATGTATTTGATATAGAAAACCGAACAATATACCTACTTGATAGTAGTTAATCCAGAGTTGTGCTGCATCTTAATCGCAAAATAGACGTGCTGTTGGTAGCTGCGAGACGATATGCCTGCTTACAATTCGTTTGGTTCGAAAAGGTTTACACGTGCTTGTACGCATGCTGTGGAATGTGCATAATAGATGTGCATTGTGCGCATTTTAATTTTTGAAACCTTCTTTCGTCACCTGTATGTGACTCGTGTTGAGGACGATGGTCCTCCTCAGGTTCATTAGGTAACATTCTTGAAAGTTTGATCCTGGGGCTATGGGCGTATTGCAACCACAGATGCCTGACCGTGCCGTGGAGAACGAAATGAGGCATTATCGCTATCGCAAGGTAATTCACTCTCGGGTCCAAGGTTTTGTGTTGAGCGTTCACCTTGCACTTGAGCGTTCGCGAGAGCAATCTTCCACTTTTCCTTATTGACTATCGGAAAACAAAGTAACTGACAGGAAGCACAAGTAGCATTGGTATAGGTGGTGGCAACTGGCTACACCATTGTTCTCGCTGCCGCCAGTCGCCACTATCCTGCACAATTGCATATAGTGCAGATAATTTAGTGCAGACGTGCGCTCGTTTATGTCCCCTCTCGGTGTCTCCGAGCGCTCCCCTACCGGTCGGAGACGGCGAACCCGGTGTACGGCGCTCACCTGCCGGCCGGACAAGGCGCACCCAGTGTGCGGCGCTCACCTGTCGGTCGGGCGAGGCGCACCCAGTGTACGGCCGTCCGCCATACCTGCCCGGCGTGACGTCACACGTCCGCCGCGACTGGCCTCAGGTGAGCGCGCGTGCGACGGCGGGCGGCGGCACGGTGGGGTGAGGAGCCATTGTGCGCCACGAACGACTACCGGGTCGCTGCTGCTCCTGTAAGAACGGTAAGAGATAAAATGGACTAATTAGTGATATCTCATTGTGGGGGACTGCTGGGAATCGATAGGTGTCGTAGGTACCGTGATCCGCACACATAGGAAGGTAAGGCGAGCAATCGTTTGCAAGGAAAGGGCGTTGCCCTGGACATTCATACAAACACGTCACCCGTTAACGTTCAGATTCAAATGCTTACTGCCTGCAAATGCTAAGCGAATTCAACTTTCATGCTTTTGAGACTGTATCAAAGTTGGCGAGGTTCTTGTGATTCTCACAAAAGTCGCCTTTTCAAAATGCATATCGATATACCTACATAAAAAGTCAAAGTTCGTTCCACTTTCTACTAGGATGTGAGCGTTGTATGTGTGTGTGTGGGGGGGGGGGGGGTATCAGGATGTAAAATCCACCTACTCCGCTGGCTCTCATGTATTCGCTTAAAGGGACACTCCCACCTTAACATTAGTTTTGAGTTGAGATAGCCAAATTGGTGGCCATGTCCTGCAAATACCGGTTTGGGCACTCACAACATCGACAAATGCTTTAATTCGGAGATATGGAATTTCAAACTTGCAGTTTTCGGATTCTAAGGGGCTAGTGCATTGGTATGCCCCCTTAGAATTTGTGACGTCAGCGGAGATCTAACGATTTTTAAATCTTTTACTAAAACGTTTGGTAGCACGCGGTGGTATATGCTGCTTTGCGCACAACAAATGCCGCACTTTCAAATAAAGTCGCTAGGAACAGCGGAGATCCCAAAAAGTAAACAAAAGTAAAATTCTAATATCTTGAAAACCGGTGAATATTTTTCGATGAAATTTGGTAGATATTCGTTTTCGCTCTTTCTGAACCGAGCGACATCACTTTCGTGCCAATTCATTAACTTTTTTGAAGGTGGGAGGGTCCCTTTAATTTATGTGTTTGTAAATGTGTAATTACGCCTTTTAATGTGCTTAAATACGCTCTTCGTATTACTCGGGGCAATTACATAAGCTCCCTGGCATCAAATGCAACTAAAGCTTAAAATTATGATTGATATTAAAACGATTATTATCCTGCAGTGGTATCCAACCTCGCTATTGCGCAAAAGTCAATCGTTTGTAACGAGACAGCTCACACTACCCAGGCCCCAGTGACATGGCCCAGACGATTACCCACGTTGCGATACCTGCCGGGCAGGTGGCCGGTGGTGATCTGGCCGGCCGTCTGACGTGATGTCAGGATGGGCGTCCAGACGAACAACATCACCATCTACCCGCCGGGCCACCCCGCCTACTCGCCGCCGGCCTGGGACGACTTCAGCGGCTTCTACATCGGCCTGGGCATCAGCCTGTCGCTGCTGCTGCTGCTCGCCTTCACAAACTTCGTCTGCTGCTGCTGCTGCCCCAGGTAGGCCGCGCGGCCGGGCCTGGGTGAAAGGAAGGGAACGGGGGAGTGAGAGGGACAAGGGACGCATGAGGTCAATCAAGAGGGGAGGTGGTTTGGAATTACGCTTGACAACCGAATGGCAAGAATATGTCGCGTAATTTGTGTTAGTCCTGACGTATTTTCAGTGGCTTTATTGCTCCCGATTGTTTAAATTCCCCGAGTCGTCTTGTTTGATATTTGTTTGTTTATGCTGACACGCTTGTTTCTGTGTATCGTCAGGTACAAGGAGTACATTCGCGATCCAAGGACCGGGAACCGCTGGGCATTGCCGTTATTTATAATGTCGCCGAAGCACGCCCAGCCGCTGGACTATTGAGCTGATCGCCGGGTGGTGTGGTCAGAGACTAGCACAGACGTTTAGAGAGGACCTCGAGTGAGGGAACTTGTAGAGGAGTGTCGGTGTAGTGTCAGGAGGAACGCTCGGTGCCGCAGTGGTAACCCAAACTTGGTAACAAGCTCAAAGTAGCGTATTAGCAACGGACACAGAGGCCACCTCTGACGAGCCTCAGTCATGGTGTTCCCCGCGTGGCCGCCGCTGGCCTGTCTAACCCTGTTCGTCGTCGTGGTCATCATCCTCATCCTCAAGTTCGGCCACAAGTGTTTCGGCTCGCGCGTGACGACGCTGCCCCAGGAGTGGGAGCGGCGCCCGTCGCGCTACCAGTACCAGATGGAGGTGCTGGACACGTCGCTGCAGCAGCCGACCCAGTCCAAGCAGCCGCTGGACGCCGGCGGCCTGGTGCCCGTCACGTACGGCTCGCGCGAGATGCTGGGCCAGTATGATGACGAGCCGCGGCGCATCATCGACACCCGCTACCCGGCCGGCGACCTGGACATTATCGAGCCGACTCCGCAGTACGCCACCGGCTCGGTGGAGGCCGCCGTCTGAGGCGGGAGGAGTGGGCCGGCGAGTGTAACGCTCATTGGTGAGCACAGAGTGAAGCTCGAAGTAGAGACCACACTTGTAAGCTGAGCCGACATAGCCAACGTCCGCCGCATTGAAAATGAGAATCTCCTTCGATCTGTGTACCGTTTGAAGATCTGACCACTTGAAACAAGAGACTGTGTACACCATCAGTGGAACAGACTGTGGCCAGCTATTACTCTGTAGCTTTGAACGATGAATCTTTGATGCTATACTGCCCGTCCCAGTGGCATGGACGAATGGTTCCATGGTCCGATCAGGAGTGTACAGGCTTCCATTCCGAGAATTTTGCTGAACGTTCCGTCCGCGAGTGGCACATGAAACGCATAGTTTAGTGTAGTTGATAAGGATGAGTGTATTGCTGTATTGACAAGCGGGATAAAGTAAAAATAGCTTTCAGCTCCGACAAAAAAGCGATTGTTCTTATGCGAGCGTTTACAGTAAACGCCTATTGAACTACTATTGGTATTTTCAACTGCACTTTCGGGACCCGTAAGTGATTCATAACGCAAATGTGATAATCAGCCGACAAATATTTTGAGCTCTTTATCCCACTGTACCCGTGCTTTGTGACAAAGTCAGTGTTACGTGCATTGCGTGCATCCGTCCATACACAACATTCCATTTTTAGAGGACGCCGAGCGACCATCACCACCAGCTGTGTGCTGCTAGTGGTACGCTGCGTCAGCTTTTTGCGAGCGTGCGAAATACATGTTTGTAAAATATCGCTATGGCTTGTGTGATAAATGCTCCCAAAGACTGTAACAGTATCCAACCCATTCTTCGATCGCATAATCAATCGTTGCGAAGGCAGTTGAACCGCAATGGCTGACCAGAGTTACTTGTTCAAAATAGTAGCGATTCAGTCCCTCACCTCGCTTAGTACCGCGACTCCACCAATAATCGAAGTGTCAACGACACAAGACCCGACCCGTCGGTGAGCAAAATTTCGGAAAACCTGAAACGTTACATTTCTCAGACTTCATTACAATGTTATACTGTATTCACATGAGAGTGGGACAGAGTATGATGACACAATGTGAGAATGTATGTGTGGACAAATAATGGTCCCGTGAGATCACTCTCGCATCTCGCCATCTTCGTCGTCGTCCTCGCCGCCTTTGACGTATAGTACGTTGTTACAGCGGATCAGAACCTCACCCAGGCTGCCCGTGCAGTTGCCATCAATGAACTCCTCGGTGTTGGCCAGCTAAAAAAGAAAGAACACAAAATGGTCAGTAAACATACCTAGTGTGCATAGTACTGTCATGGATGAAAGAACCTGGATAGGAAACTCCTATTCCTTCAACATTACGGGCAGCGTTCCGGGCGATCGACCTGCCACCTAGCGTTCGGTAAGTATCGGGACTGGAAACTCCCGCCGTTAAGCATTACGGCCTATGGGGGACGCGGGGCGGCATGTTTTGAAACGGGTATTAGACCGCAATGCGGATTTATTTTTAGGTTTAGAAGCTACTTGCCACAGACAAAATTGATCAGGCTATCGAATGAGACCAAAACTATTATTGTCCGTTCCGCACAAAAGTCGTACACAAGGGCCGAATACAGGCGACCTTGAAAAAATGGTGATGGTGATCTTCATCGGTAGGTGATCGCTGCCGAGGTCTTGTCCAACTTCCCAGGTCGATCTGCGCGCCATCATCTCGGGGTCCGCTCGCGCCCCTCTCAACCAACTCAGACAGCTCACCGGAAGGTCGTGGGGGCTCGGCGAGAGACTCCTCCGGACGGTGGCAAACGGATACATCCGCGGCGCCATAGAACACGCGGCGGCGGCGTGGCTGCCTGCGGCTGCGACAACGCATCTCGGCGTCTTGGAAGTGGAGATGTTGGCGGCGGCACGCACCATCACTGGCTGTCCGATCTCCACCCCGAGGCACGCCGTGAGAGCAGAGGCGGGCGTCGTGCCGATGGCGGCGAGGAGGGATGCGCTGGCAGCACGCCTGCTGGCGAAAGCGCACTCTCTCCCGCCGGAGGACCCGCTGCACGCCGTGGCGGAGGCCGCCCCCGTGCCGCGCCTCAAGTCCGTGACCGGATGGAGAGACCGAGGGAGAGCGGTGTGGGACCGCGCCGGCGTGGAGCTACCCGTCGAGGCTCGCCTAGCCACGAGGCCGCCCCCGTGGACAGCGACGGAAAACGTGACGATCCGCCTGGACATCGGCCCGCTCCCGATCGGAGCGACCGCGTCGATGAGGCGAAGCGCTGCGGAGACGTGCCTGGGAGCGCTCCCCCAGTGTGCGACGTGGGCCTGGACCGACGGGTCGGCGACCGGCGGAGTGACGAATGGCGGTGCCGGGGTCCTAATCGAACACCCAGACGGAACGACGGAAGCTCTGCGAGAGGCGGCGGGAAAAATATGCTCTAGCTACCGGGCTGAGATGGTGGCGCTGAAGACGGCAGTGCGACATCTCCTGGAGCACCCACCCCTCGAACAGGATATCATCATATGCTCCGACTCACAGGCGTCACTTGCGACGCTGAGAGGAGGACCAGCGGCCCAGACGTCCCCTCTAGGTGCCGCCATCTGGGAGCACATGGCGGCGCTGGTGGCTGGCGGGGACCGTAGGGTCCACCTCCAATGGGTGCCGTCCCACTGTGAGCTGGAGGGAAATGAGCGGGTGGACGCTATCGCCAAGGAAGCCGCCGCCCTCCCACAGCAGGGAGTCCCGGTTGACGTCCGCACAGTGTACCGTGCGGCGTCCCGGACGGCCAGAAAGGAGGCGATCAGCAACTGGCCGGACGGCTGGTATAGGCGGCTGATGGGACGGCCACCTACCCGCACCGCTGCCCAGCACTACTCCACGAGAGGTGGCGGTTGATGTGCACCAACTGCGCGCTGGTCACTGGTCGGGATCTGCGCAGTACCTGCATCGGATCGGCAGGAACCCCGGCCGGGACTGCGCGCAGTGCAACTCGCTGACGTGCCGGGCGGCCGGCTGCCGCTGCTGTGGCGAAGAGGAGGCAGACACGCCGGCACACATCCTGCTACGCTGCCCGGCACTGATGCGACTACGCCTACGACATCTAGGCAACATACACCCGAGCGAGGAGGAGGTCCGAGGCAGCGGCGTGGTGGCGGCCCTGGGGGCCGCCGCCAGGTACCTCCAGAGCCGAGAGGCTACGTAGCGACCGCTGCGTGGGGAAACAACAACAACAACAACAACACCTTGAAAAAGAGGGCCATTTCTAGTGTTTTTCTCTTACGCGGCGCCGGTGAACGCTTACGCGGCGCCAGTGAATGCGCGGCAGACGCGGCTCCCGCTGCCGCCGCGCGTGCCCTCGGGCACTTACCGAAGGGAACGCAATCAGCTGTTAGTTTCCAATCCAGGTTCTCCTTCATCCATGGTACTGTTAGCAGAAAGGTGTATTTTACAAGCTGATGTCATATGATGTTCATGATGCTGATGTGTCTCAGATAAATGGGGTGATTACAATCTATTGAAAATATAAAATGGTACTATGCTGGATATGGTGAAGTGACCATAGAAAGCAAAATACAAGAGTAATACAACAAGGTGCTAGCACCATGATATTGTACATGACCTGATTATACAGGGCACTACAATACTAGGCCTGAATCTTTAACAGCTATTAAATACTTTTATGCTAGGTAGGTACCAAAGTTTTGCTGATAAGAGTTACATAAAAGAAGCATACTGAGCCATAAAGTTTTTCAAAAGTAAAAATTTGAATAAATTAATACCAAATAACTTTCTATCTGTTTGTTACATTTAAAGTGTCGCTTGAAGTGATACTAACCTGCAGGTTCATGTAACCATCCACTGACACCAGGAATCCCTTGTACTCCTGTCCCCACTTCAGCTTCACCAACACAGACTTGCCAGTAAGGTTGTTCAAAAAAGGCTTGGGGTTGATGGGCATAGGGGCCTGAAATGGAACAATATTCAAATCAATGTCTATACAAATCAGAAAAATACAGAATAGTTTAGTTTAGAAAAATAATATTCTAAGGATCAGGCAGCTTATGAAAAAGCTTCAGCATATCAGGAGGCAGATGACTCGTACAAGTTACCAGATGAATTGATGTGCTGGTGAAATTGGACAGATTGAGAAATTTGATGCAACAATTACCTTTTAAAGTTATGCACTCTAAGAAATGTTATACAAATGTTAGGTACCAAGCAGTAAATTGTTTGCCATTCAATCACTTATTACCTACCAACCAATGTTGAATCTAGAATATCACTAGGCATGAAAAGACCATTGCTGCATTTCTTTTCTCAGATGATTCAATTATAATGCATAATAAGCTACAAACTACAAAGTAAATGAAAATATAAGCAATAGAACCAGAGAAAAAAAACATGTAGGTAGCGTGCGTAAAATTATCCCTGATACTAATTCCCTGCAGGGGAAAATCTGCGGACCTGGGGTGGTCGGATGTTTTCCGCGTTAGGGGTGGGAGGTATTTTTGATAGTGGTGATTAAATGGTTTTTACTTTTGATTTTTTAAAGATAAACTGTGAGATGTGATGACATATTGTGTGTGATGTAATGTCATAAGTAACTTAGTGTTTGCAAGCTAGAAAATCAAAAGTAAGTCAAATTACTGTGACTGTCCAGGGATAGCATCTGTGATGCCTAATGCTGAAATGAGGGATAATATCACATGGAGGATTCTCACCTGAACCAGACATACCAAACTAAGGTTGACATGAATAATTTTCTGAATGATTAATATCCAAAGGGTAACGTTTTGCGGATGCCAAGCGCACGCCCTATCATCAGCCAATGAAAATTATGCCACAGACGCAGGCCGGAGAGCTGGAGTCCACATCAAACTTCAAACAGACAGGTTCAATGCATAAATTAAAGATCCAAACATCTTAATTTCAAATACACCATGACTATAGAAGAGAGAAAAAGTTTATCATACTTACAGCCATTTTGTTATATCCTTATCAGGCGCAATTAATAAAAACTCTTCAGCATCCAGCCTCCACCACGCGTACACACACGAGCCACGAAGGTAATGAACGTTTCTGTCCCACTGTTCAATATGTGACAAACGAACGCTGAGAAGAGCAAGTTGCCTGGCAACGTCCTCTGAAAAGTCAATAAAAGTTCTCGATTGCCTGGCGACTGGGCAAGAGATACCACTGCTTCGGCTTTTGAACAGAAATTACAGAACCGGTGGTGCGCCAAGTACGCAGCATTCAGCGCTATTTCAAGGATTACTTATTTGTGCCGTTAATTTGCAGATATTATTAACGAAAAGGTCCACCCTTGGCAGGCATCGGTAGGATTGTGATTGCAGGATTGCAAAATCCTGATTGCATTCCTTTTTGGTGGATTGCACCTGGATTTGAAATCCATTAAAAACAGGATTTGATTGCGGATTGGATTGCATCATACTTCCAATTTTTGCAATCCAATCCGGATTGTGTTTGATTAGTGCTTTGAAATGGTTTGTTGCGATTGAAAATTATGAGATCGGCTTCATCGGCTTAATGTACTTTGCTATCAAGGGCTTTACATCGAAACTTGAAATAATTTAAACGCTTTTAATTTAAACGCTCAAAATAATATACGCTGATGAACTACATAGGAAGGGCAAAATTACGTATTTGAGGGCGAGTTTTAAGAATACAAAACACTGGTTGGGTAGAGGTTTAAATGTGGGGGTGTTTGAGGCAAAAAATATTTCCCATAAAATACCTGTGCCTTAGATAGGAATAACTCGCAAGACTAGGTACAAGAAATGGGTGATTTGGGGATGGAGGCACGGCCCTATGCCCCCCTCCCTCCCCCAGATCCACTAGCGCACATAATAATAATACAACAGGATTGCAAAAAAAGATTGCGGATTTGATCACAATCCAAGTGAAAAAAGGAGATTGCGGGTAGGAATGCAATCCACCTCGGCACTAGGAATGTGGATTGGGAATGCAATCCTTTCAAAAAGGATTTTACCGATGCCTGACCCTTGGGGACGACGTCAATGCGAATCCCCGACGTCTCCATCTGGATGTTGCCAATCGCTTCCAAATAACCATTACTTTAACGCAAAACAACATGCATTCGTCGATATATTTACCGGGCACTGCATAATTATACACCATATTTTTTACACACCTGATTATATTTTGGCCTGGGTCATGCTTATCACCTATCTTCATGTTAGCCATTTTCACATCTTTTACCCCTAAAAACAATTCCGATTTGGACTAGAAGACAGCCGGAGTTCTTATCCGATACAAGGCCACGTACATTGTCCAGTAATCGATCACACTGATCGTTTGATTATAAAAGCAAGGAACCTACCCGACCGAACTATAGGAATAGGATTGACAACCCTAATCCCCTGGGTTGACAGACGCACAGACACACACACAAGACAATAAACTGTTCGCTGCTGTATAGCCGGCTGCAAATCATCCGGGCACAATGTGAGCAGCCTGGAGTGGGGGAGGGGCAATGTTTGATAACCATACCTGCCTGAGGCAGCGGGCGACCGCAGAACCGCACACCCACCCCAGGCGCCGGTCACCGAAGAAGCCATAGGAGGCCGACCGACGCGCCGGGCTGTCACAACAGATCAGCTCCGCACCGGCGGACAGCGCACGGGTCAGGGACCGGCGTCGGAGCACAGCTCAAGCGGGTCCATCAGCACCGTAGAAAGCCAGACGGTGTCTTCCAGAAATCGCTTGCTCCAGGATGGGAGAGCGGACACGACTGCGACTGGTGTTTTTGCCGTCCGTGGCCCGCGATGGTGCCGGCGAGCGTGCTACGGCTAGTCCCCAGGAGCGCCACCTCAGCGCCGGCTGGAGAGAGGAGCTCTCCGGGTCGCTGGAGCCCGCCACGCCCACCACGCCCAAGGAGACCACGGCACCCTGGAATGGTTCAGGTAAGAATAGGGCCTGATCGTGACTTGGAAAGCTATAAGAACGGTTAAGGAGAAATGGGGGGGGGGGCCTGATGAGCTTAGCAACCGTTCAAGCGCACGTCATTTTCGGGGAATTTTAACATATTATAGTGTTTCGAAGAATGACATTTTTGCATCAGATTCTCATTCACGGTCATCCTAAGAAACAGCACCAAGTACCAACCAGTAACGGTAACCACTAATTGCATCCATTGTTCTACAACGGGGGAGGGATGCTGCATTGCACCAGTAACGTGCCGTACTGTGGTTCTGCAGGTGAATATCCCCGTCCGAGAGGACTGAGCAGCGCCCCGTACAAACTGCTCGTGCTGGGGGACGCGGGCGTGGGAAAGTCTGCTATCGTGACCCGGTACGTTGCTGACAAATACCAGCCGGACCGCGAGGCCACGGTCGGAGTACGAACATCGACCAAGACCGGGGTGCAGCTGGAGGAAGGCGTCTTCAACGTCCAGATCACAGAGCTTAGCGGTGAGCGAAAACGGTTAGCTGGCGGTGAGGAGATGTTCGTTCTAAGGTGCAATTGTGATAGTGCGCATCAACAATTCAAACTGACGAATTTAGACGTTAGCAGACGAATACTAGCGTGTAGGCATCCTACATCCAAAATAGAGGTGGCAAAATGTGGACCCGAGGACCCGGTCCAAAGAACCAGTCCGGACCCATATGGGTCCAGACCGGTTCCTGGAACTTTTCTGACGGGTCCAACCGGGTCCTACCATTAACTATACATCTTGCACACTACACATTACCGCAAAATATGAAGTGAATGTTTCTTTAGTTTGCACACAGTATCTCATGAGTATTCCCAGTGAGAAATAGGCTGTTTTACATGATGCAATTAATGATACCTACAAGTACCGGGTGATCATTTGGGAATGAGATAAAGTAAGTGGCACGTGCAGATGTGTATTCAAATAGCACACCAGACAAAAGACACGTCATTAGACTCGTCATCGTGGGACATTTTGTACTGCACACTATTATACACCTGCAAGCCACTGTTCATCTACAGCAGGTGCTCAAAGTGGCCACCCCCTTCTGAGCGGCACAGCATCAGCCCGACGGCGTGTGTGACGCGCCATCTTTCGCAGCTGCTCTTCGTCCATGTTGCGGGCGAAGTCCTCAACCAGTTCCTTCAGCTGTTCCAGCGTTTGGGGCTCGCTGCGCACGATCTGAGCCGTCACCAATGACCAGAAACAAAAGTCCAGACAAGACAGGTCGGGACTGTACGGCGGCCATCGGTGTTCACTGTTCCGGGAGATGACGCGGATGGCCAGGATGGACTCCTGTGAATTCTGGCTAACCCATGATGAGGAGTGGTTTGAGCGTGTACTCTGGAGTGACGAAAAGTGGTTTGTTCTGCATCCGTCTCCAAACAAGAAGAACACCGTGTGCTGGTCGCCAGAGAATCCGAACAAGCTCGTGCCATGCAAGAAGGCCCAGGGGTAGAAGGTGATGGCGTGGGTGGGCGTGGTGGATGGGAAGTGCCTGCCAGTTCACTGGTTAACTGGCTCCGTCAACAGCGACGCCTACCTGGAGATGCTGCAGACGGTGGTGTGGCCTGCGGTGAAGGCTCGGGCGACGCGCCACCAGTACCTACTGGTTCCAGCAGGACGGCAAGCCGCCGCACGTCACTGCTCCCGTGATGGACTTCCTCCACTCGAAGTTCGGCGGCCGCGTCATCTCCCGGAACAGTGAACACCGATGGCCGCCGTACAGTCCCGACCTGTCTTGTCTGGACTTTTGTTTCTGGTCATTGGTGACGGCTCAGATCGTGCGCAGCGAGCCCCAAACGCTGGAACAGCTGAAGGAACTGGTTGAGGACTTCGCCCGCAACATGGACGAAGAGCAGCTGCGAAAGATGGCGCGTCACACACGCCGTCGGGCTGATGCTGTGCCGCTCAGAAGGGGGTGGCCACTTTGAGCACCTGCTGTAGATGAACAGTGGCTTGCAGGTGTATAATAGTGTGCAGTACAAAATGTCCCACGATGACGAGTCTAATGACGTGTCTTTTGTCTGGTGTGCTATTGAATACACATCTGCACGTGCCACTTACTTTATCTCATTCCCAAATGATCACCCGGTAGTTTGTATTATTTGACTTTTGGGGAACGGGTCCAACTGGTTCCGATTCCAACTAAGACCGGGTCCGACTGGTTCCAGAAATGTCCAGCCGGGTCTGGTTCGAGTCTGGTTCCCAAAATTTTCATCTTTTGCCACCTCTAATCCAAAATGTAGCCACATCTAAAATGTATAGTTGGCAATGAAGGGTGATATCATCGGCTGCATGAAAAACGGGCACAATAGCATCAAAACTACCAAGTCGCATGACTACATGCGGCTGACCATTTCCCCAAACTCTCGGGCCCCGGCTTTTAGCCGAGAGATCGTTCCAGGGGCTGGCGGATGCGTTTTACAAGGATGCTCACGGCTGTGTGGTGGTGTTTGACCTGGGGCAGCGACGCTCGCTGCGCGGCGCTCTCCGCTGGAAGCGTCACATCGACCGTCTGTGCAGCCTGCCGGACGAGCAGCGTTTCCCGAGCCTCTTGCTCGCTAACAAGGTGACTGAAGCGTGTCCCTTTCAACCTGTGGTGGGTGCTCATATGCTGATGCTTGCTCATGAGTACCTATTGCGCATTGTTCATGTGATTATCATGCTAACGACAGTCTTCATCATATAACATTCACGGCTGTTGCTTCCAGTGTGACGTCACTGGAGGCCGTGACGTCACCCAGTGGGAGGTGGAGGACGTGGTCAAACAGGCCGATTTCCTCACCTGGATCGAGGTCTCGGCCAAGTACAACTTCATGGTGAATGAAGCCATCGGGTGAGAACGATGACGAACGGCTAACTCATCGCATCACTGTGACTTGTAATCCTATTTACCGTGTGATAGTAGTGGAAGACTTCCCTTCAACCCTTCCAGACCTTAGACGCCCCTGTCCCGCGGCCGCAGGTACCTGCTGCGGGTCGTGCTGTCGCGAGCAGGTCCGCCTGGCGTCGACAGCTCCGTGCACCTTACAGACCCGGATGATGAGCCGCCACCATCGCGCTCCTGCTGCGGGGCTGGCGCAGGGTCACAAACAAGGTCGAGGTCAAACGAGAGCCTGCAGGCGTCACGAGACTCGTCAGATCAACGCAAGGAGCTTTAATGTCCTTTCTCAAGCGCCTAGGCCGACGGTCTTGGCTCCTGGACGCTCAGGAGCGAAGCCAGAAAAAAAGTTACGAAAAATACGCGTGCATCGTGAGGGTGCAATGCATTACCAAACTCAAGGCTACCTCTGTCCTGTAGCTAAGAGGAATGTGCGGCCATGTCAATTGTCATGGTGGAACTCAGTATTGTGCAAATTGAAACTGTCACATGAGCTGTGTGTATTGCGATTTGCGATTAATTGTTGTCATTCTTCAATATTCTGATTCTGTCTGTTTACTTTATTCAGAATTAAAGTAATCATCGATTAATCATAAACTAACGAAAGAACGTTTCTGTGATTCAAGTCCATCTGTATTCTCTCTTTTTTAGCCCGACATGCTCTGCAAGACCATTTTAAACAGGGCGAGCTGTCTCACGTGACAGACACCCGAATAGCACATCTGCTGCGTGATTCGCAACAATTAATTGCAAAGGAGTCTAAACGCCTGATTCAACATGCCTCTGCAAATAATGAAGGGAAGTGCAAACACAAACATAAATAAATACCTACCTAAACGATGTTGCCTGGTACAAAACTTTGACAAAGCTTTACAAATCTTTGACATTTAGGTATCCATGCAATATGCAGCGCATAAATCATGAGATGACCTAATCATAGGCACAACAGTAGGTAGCGATTGCAATGAATTCATGAGCACTATGAGAAAAGCCACAGCCCATCGACTCATGATGGCGAACGTCGGAAGTTATAAGGCAAGACAATCACGACATCATTATTCCGACCACTCACTCAGAGCAAACCCCCAGAGTCCGAACCATCATTCGTCGTTTCGAAGTGTTGGCCACTCCACCCGTATAGATGTCCCCGGCCCGTATTCGTATAGCCTGGTCCGCTGAAGTATGCGCTGAAAGCTTTGAGGAGGCCGCTCCCCAAGATTCTAAACGCCGCTCCCAAGCTGCTCCCAAGTCCCAGATGTTCTACATATCTAGCTCCCGTCCTTTCCAGCACGCGGACTGAGCCCAAGACTATCTTGATGTGTAAGAATCTTGCCCAAAACTGCAACTGAGCCGATCCGAAGGGCCTTGGATCAAAGCAAAATTCCCCACGCAGATTACTCAGAATGGCGAATGCTGAGGGAGTTCTATAGCCTTGAGGCAAATGCTGCTTTACGGAAACCCACGGAAACCCAAGGGAAACCGAGAAAACGACTGAAAAACGACTGAGGCCCAGGGCGAAAAAAACAAGGTAGTCACGTGATGTACCAGACCACTACGGGGAAACCAAGTGCATACAAAAGCTTTTGTCACGTGATTTCATACAATAATCAAAAGTCTTGATCCATCTACATATATAGCGCGACTGCCACGAACTATGATAAACAAATTTGTCGAGTACCTATCCAAATCAAAATTGAAAACGTGAGAATTATGTCGGTTTTGTTTTACGAATACCGATATTTTGCCTCTATGAATCGGCGTTATTTTCTTCATTAACAGCTTATGATATCAGTTGATGTTTTATTGTATTAGCATATCCACAAAAGACGAATCAGCATGGTTGAAGCCTGATTGTGATGGTATAATAAAATTACATGGGACTTTGGGGTAGTAACTGAAAAAATGTATCTTTAACTAAAATGTCCAGTTATACATACAAGCTAGAAACTATGCAGGTACTGTATTTGATGATGATGATTTGGTGTTTTATTAGGGCGCACCAGCAACAAGGCCATAGAGCGTCCGCCCACATGAACTGTCATTAATACCTATCTTATTTACCATAGAGACATTGAGAGATCCAAGCCCAAAGGCTGTCATTTGTTCAATCCTCTCAGAAGATTTAAGAATTTAAGGCAGTGAGAGCTCCCTTTAGCTCTTGGCCCACTATTCACATTGAATAGTTACTGTTTCTTGTCAGTTATGGGATTAATGGTTGGATGTCACCCAGAATTTCTTATCTGAGTTATTGCAATGCAAGTAAGAAATATTGTTCTTAAATACAAGCAAACAAAGTCAAATCTGTTTTCCTTTGAACTTTTAAAGGCATATCCGAGGACAATATGAAATAAAAATAAGCAATTAGCTTATGCCTTATCATGCTTCATTTTGAGTTGAATATTGTTATCAAGATAATTTCTTTCATCTATGATGAAGCTGATTCTATTTGTAAAGATATTTTGCTTTAAGTTAACAATGCAACATTTTCAGATTTTTATTTGTCCTGAATGAAAATAGAATAACTTTGAGATGAAGGTAAGAATATCACTATCAGTACTGTCTGTCATATTTTTTGTTTTATATCTTCTGCTTACAATGTTAATGGCTAGCAAATATTTAGTGTCTGAAGCAAAAAAGGATATTTGTGGACAGTCTTCACCTTCAAGCTGCACCCCGGATCTGGGAAAACAAAAAGGTAAGCAATAAAATGTGTTAAATTATGTTAGTGCCTATTTTTTAGTAAAGCTAGTTATGTCTAGAAACCTATATGGAACTGGTGTTTGTGCATATTCTAAAGCTAAATATTGAAGAGTGAAATAAGCATCTCCCTGATCAGATGAGAAATTATTATTTGAATGAGCAGGTGATTAATACTCATCATTTGCCATCTTTTTTTTTGCAAATTTTAACAATTATGCTGTGTATATCTAGTTTTAAGGTTAATTTCTTATTTGCCCTTGTATCAATGTAAGCCATTTTAGATCTGGATTTCTTTCCACAGCTGAAGAGGTGTTATCAACATCAGTGGTCCAACCCTCAGAAGCTGGTTACAATCCACCAGAAGATGAGAGCAAGCACATTGAGATATGGAGCAAGGCAGCCATTGGGTGGTACTTCTGGAATAGCATATTCAATGCCAGACTGCAGGTGATTTAGTCAATTATTGGTCAAGCAATTTTCAGCTACTTGGGTTTTGCACTGACCACATGAAGGTTTTTACAGAAACAATAATAGGTCCTGTAACATAGGTACAATGTTGGACCTCACAATGCTACCAACAGTCAACAGGTTACTACTCCAATAATACATCTGGTAACTTGGAATTCATCTTAACCCTCGCCCAGTGAGGGAGGGCACTGCAAACGGCGGCGCGCAGCGCCGCCAAATGTGGTATACCATCTGAGGCAACCTTTTCGCACCTATCCTGAAAATTTCAGGTTTCAGGTCCTAGTCTTCTCAGCGCAGGTCACCAGGACACAAAACCGGTACAAGGTCAGGGGAAAATTGGACTAGTTTAGCGGCGACTGAATGCCAGGGTTCTTCGTTGATAGCGTGGGTACTATGGCACGTAGCGCTACCAAGTTTGAGACAGGACTTGGAACATCTATTAATCACTTGACCTGGGAGTTTAACGTTCCAGTGACCTGATATCAGGTCATATGGTCACAAAGACCGGTATATTGCCAAAATGGCACTAAAATTGCACTATTTTGTTCACAAAAAGTAGAGTTCTTCATCGATTTGATTCAAACTTGCAGGATATGCTTAGCTCACCGAGTACCATCATATTATGCACCCCAGTTTTTTTCAAATTCCGTTGACCTGAGGTCATCTAGAGGTCATCACAAATTTTAACCCTTGCCGGCACGGGGTGTTGATGCCGTAAGGTTTTTCGCGAATAACTCGCGTAAAAAGCGGCCGATCGCGACGAAACTCAGTACCTTCGCATTGATCAATTTTACACCTACCCTGAAAATTGCATGACCCTGACCCAAATGACCTTTGACCTGTGACCTACTTTCCGAGACCATGTTTGGCCGGAATCGCGATTCGGCGCATGTCGGCTCGCATTAGTCGCGCGTTTGCAAGCTTTTCGTGGTTTCCAACGTTCAAACATGTGATTTGATGTTGTTCCCATGCATTAGAGTGGATGTCAAGGTCACCTGAAGGTCAGGTCAGGTCATTGACCTTTGGTGACCTCGGTTCACTTTTTCGAGTTTTACAAGTTTCTTGGTTAGTTTTTTTTTAGCTGAATTTGAATTTAGCAACCATTTGAACATTTACGAAGTAGTTTTGCTGCCTTCGTAACATGTTACGAAGCTGTCAGAGGCGGTTGACACGTACTACGAATACCCGTCACGACCCCTACCGGTTGACTTGACCTGACCTGACCCGACCTGGTCGAAATGCTTAAAGACATCATCTGTGATCAAAACTAACACGATATATCGTGATCAGCACACCGAAAACCTCCATAGCACTAGCAGCCACATGTTACAACTTTCTAACAGCTCCCGATTTTGCCCGATTTTTGGGTCATTGACCTGACCTGAAAGGTCAACCGATGACCTAGGACCTTAAAGTTGGGTATCATCGGCTTCCTCTCGTGACGGGCAACACGCTCATTTTTTCCGCGAAGCTCCAGCTTGATCAGGGGACAAACGCGAGGGGGGGGGGGGTCGAACCAACGAGGGTGCCGTTGAAGGACGCAAAATGGCCTGTGCCGGCGAGGGTTAAGGAAATTTGCCCGAATGTGTCAAGATGAGAGATTTGTGCTCTATTGTAACGTTTTTGTATCGTACTTCCTTGATTTACATCTAGTTGGTGTTTGCAAGCTGCAAGAACGCTTAGGTCGGGTCAAATGAGGTCGACTAAGGTCAAACTACATTTTTGCTAATAACTTGGCACATAATGAGACTAGAGCTTGTAAAATTGTGTCATTGTGTTCCTTGTGCTCAGGCGATTCGAATGATATGCAGTATGATGCATTTTGATTTGCTTTAACTTGATTAATTTATTTAAGTTCACTTAACTTTTAAGAAAATGATGCATTTTGATTTGCTTTTGATTAATTTATTTAAGTTCACTTAACTTTTAAGAAAATTTAGAGGTCACTTAAATTGGTGACAGAGTATATCAATCGATGCGCACGAACGTGCTGAGTTCATTGGTGCCTTTATTTTTACTCTCTCTTTACTAGATGAAAAGTTAAAAGCGAAAAAAAAAACTTTTGACATATTTTAGCGACATTTTTGCACGTATACCCCCAAACCCCCCCTAAATATTGACCTAAAGTCACAAAATTTTCACGAGGACGAGACCTCCTATGGGCCCACCTACCCTGTAAATTTGGCGTTTCTTAGTGCCATAGAGGCCAATCGCTTTGGTGGGGCGTACCAACCCCCCCCCCCCCCTCCGTTCGTGTTATTGAAAAGGCCCTCGCCTGGCGAGGGTTAAGGATCATTGACCATTAACTTTGTGCATAAGTATGGTATAATTGAAAAGTGTAGATAAATTGTTATGCTAAAATCATTTAACCCTATTCCTGGCGGGCTCCGCCGGGACAAGAAACTGGCGGGGGGGGGGGGCCGATTCGGACCCCCCTGAGATCTCGAGAACGAAGCAAGATAGCGACAAGCGGTAAACGGCATCGGATACGCACGGCCAAGATCTACAATTTTTACTAAGGTCATTTTCAGGTCAGGTCAAAGATGACGTCACAGGGGTCGAAAAAGTCAAAATGGCGGCGCTAGATATGGAGAGAGTTTTTCTCGAATAACTTTCGAATTAGTCAAGATAGGAACAAACTAAGGGCATCATCGTGATCCTCTCGTCAATCCGCATCGAATGATATATATGTTGACCTCGAAAGGTCAAGGTCAAAGGTTGACCTCAGGTCACGTGACCTCGAGGTCATCATGTATATCATTCGATGCGTCTTGACGAGCTGAACACAATGAGACCATCCACGCGTCTGTATCTTGTTCCTGTACGGAGTTATTGGCCAAAAACCTTTGGTGACCTTTGATGACGTCACATGACCTCACAGCTGCCCAACAGCAAAACAGACCTCAAGGTAGTGAAGGTTGATCGTATACGAAGTCATGTATGGTATATGGGGCCATTCCGACCCGTTTTAGTGGTAAAAACAGGGAGTTGATTTTTCCCCCATTGACTTATAATGGGGAGGTCGCGAAATTGACCTGACCTTAGGTCACCGATATCAAAATTCCGAGATATACAAATTGCACATACTGGTACCCTAACTAAACCCTGAAGAGAAGAAATTGATCGGTCAAAAACTCTAGCTCTGGCGTGATTGCAAACTTTTCTGAGGTAGGGTCACCAAACCGCCTCTGGTGACCTGACCTGAGGTCAGATCAACTCAAAATTTTCAGACATGTTGCGTAGAAGCCTTTTAGGAAAAGTCAGAAAATTTGAGCTTCCTAGCTCAACGCGTTTGGGAGAAATAACCAAAAAACCTCAGGGGGGGCTCCTGAGGCCCCCCCCCCGCCAGGAATAGGGTTAAAGAAACTACTGGCTTTCTCTGTTGGTTAGAGTGTTGGAGGCAGCTGTAAGGCAAAGTGGCAAAGTGTGTTGGACGATGTCATAATAAAACGTTGTGCCGTCGCCAGGAGAAACCCGGCGAGCCGTGGAGCGTGGGCTCGCGCCGTTTCTACAAGTACACCTTCACATTCCGGCATGGTCCCGGCGTGGTGCCCAACACAGTGCCGGCCGATGTCCGGTACCTGGTGCTCATACTCAACGGACGCACCGATGAAAAGGTCAGCGCCGAAATCGCCAAAGTCACAAACACTGGGTTATGTGCCTCACGATGGCCAGAATTATAGGGAATCGTGTTGCTTCATTGGATGTGCTACAAGATATTACGCGAGTGATACGCGTCGTTGCCTATTAGTTGTTACATTTATTATTCATGTACAAATATACAATATACATCATTATATATTACGATGACGTCTGCATATCGTTACATACCTATTCATGCTCGTTATTTTTTTGCTTGTTCGTCATCGTAACCCATTCGCACTGATCACGGCCCCTGCATTATACCCGGCTTTAACATTATACCCTGCATTATACCTGGCTCAGCCGGTCTCACTCGACTCCCTCCTCCACCGCTGCACCAGGTTCGGGTGGCGCGCCAGTGGCTGGACCTGCTGCCCCGCCTGGTGCTCCTGCAGCACACGGCCGTCGTGCTGCACGGCAGCGAGTTCTGTAACAACACCTGGATCCGGCCGTACCTGCGCGCCCACGGCGGCCGCGTCGACGCGCTGTTCGTCGTGTATGATGACCCGGACGTGAATGGCGAGGACATCTTCCAGTGGCCGCTCGGTGTTGCCACGTGAGTCACGGAAAGGCGGTGCGCACGGTGATGGGGAGACGGTGACGGTGCGGTGACGGCCACTCACAGAGTGGTCAGTGGCTGAGTGTCGCCGGTGTTTGCGTCTCTGAGCCTCAGACGGGCTTGCAGGATCCTTTTTAGCCATTTTTTCCTAATTGATCGTGTATTTTGAGGTCTGTATGTAAAAATACAGCTTAGGAAGTTAAAAGCTACGTTAGCGTTAGCTAAAAATTTGTGTTCCCCTCTTGACTCGCATTGCTGCCTGCTGGAAACCTTATAATGACTGAAAGTGTATCACCATTCACCTCACTGCAGCATATGTAGCAGAAGCACAAGCCTCTTGGACACTGTTATCGATCCTAAGCGCTCCCCGCCCTCCGCAGGTACCGAGGTTTCCCTCAGGGCCCGTACACGATAGACTTCAAGTCTCCGCGGCCGCACAGCTGCAACTTCTTGGGCACCGTGTACGCCAACTCGTCACGGGAGACGCTGCTGAAGAGCTTGCTGTCCGTTCCCGACCACAGCTGCCTGCTCAAGACGCGACAGCAGTGAGTGAGCGAGAACAGATGTGGCATATGTCGTGTTATACATCCAGCCGTACCTGCAGCGCTGCTGATGCCGACAAACAATGCATTAGGCATATGTTTGTGTCGGACGATCCTGGCCGGTGCACACGCGGGAAGGGTAGCACTGATCGACCACCCGGTCGTTTGGATTTTGGACCGAGCTCTGGTAGCGGTTGTGTTATGTGAAATTGAGAATTTACGATGGATGAGGCTGTGAGCTGGTCAACACATGTGTGGGATGCGCCTCCGCTATTTTTGTGCGTAAGGCAACGTAAAGCATCGTTAGTGAAAAACGTTCGTTTTGCGACTGTAGCCTGTAATATTATTTCCCTTCCCTGCCGTCCTCAGGTGGACAGAGTCTGAGACGCACCAGTCCGCCTCCGAGTACGTGGACGCCCTGCTGCAGTCAGACCTCACCCTCAGTCCGGCCGGCATCAACCCGGAGTGTTACCGGCAGTACGAGGCGGCGGCGCTCGGTTCGGTGCCGGTGATGGTCGCGGACGAGCCGCCAGTGGGCCGCTGTCGTCCCGGCCCGGGCCTGCTGCGCCGCCACGGCGCCCCGTTCCTCTGGCTCCGAGACTGGCGTCATCTGCCTGAGCTGCTGCGGCGAGAGGCGGCGCTGACTGCGCGCCAGCGCGCCGCCCGTCGCCGCCGCCTGCTCGCCTGGTATGAGGACTTCAAACGGCGAGTCCGCAACGAGTTCATCAACGTCATCGTACGTAAGTTCTTCCATGGCGAGGATGGTAAGGCGTGATGTGATCTGAGTCTTAGGGATTGAAGGGTGTTATGTGGTTTTTGAAACAAGAGGTGCGTATATTGTTTGGGGAAAAGATGACGTGATGGTAGGGGTGGGAATAATGCGTAGCTCAGCGTAGACGGTGATCAAACTTTCAAACTTTTATAGACGTTACCATGACGTGGCCAGTCACCCGGTCCGTGCTTCTATCCACAGGATACTGAAATCCTTCTCCTCCACGCCGCAAACCCCCTGCGGGCTGGACAGGCAACTTTATCTCATGCGGGCTGCTCCCTTGGAGCGGCACCGCTGCTCCCGAGAGAGCGCACCCCGTAGCCGGGTGCAGTGAGTGCCTTGGGGCTGGATGGTCTGTCCTCTGGACGGGCTCAGCCCCGGCGACTCACTAGGGTGCCTGCCCAGACCAATGTCTCCCCCTATATCCTATCATCCTCCCGGCTCTGAAATGGTCTCATTGGACCGAAAGGGCCTAACCCAACAAAACAAACAAACAAGTGGCCAGTGAGTGAATTTTGCTACGATGTGGTCTCAGTCCATTGAAGACGGTGCATTGTTTTGTCATTGTACCCTGCAAGTCGTTGACGTGTTAACAACCGATCGGGGATATTTTCTAGTTTATCAATTTAAATATCAATATGAAATCCACTCTCAAAGTTGCCATAATCATAATATACATAACCACTTTACCGTAACTCGTAAGTATCGGAACCAGTGACATATTTCGTACTCGTTCACATTGATAGTCAGTCTTACCAGTTCAAGCACCGCGCTCGGCTTCTGGGTAACGTTTGCTGAGATTCGCTTTGTGATACGTCAAATGACCCAGGTGTTTAGGATAAACGACGGTTTTACTGTGTTGACGCATGTCATGCAGTCGGTGTCTTGATCAGTGTGTGCCAGCACCCATGTTCTTAATTGTGATGCATTGGGAAAGGGAAGATAGTCAAGTGCAAGCCCGGGGGATAACTTGTCATGGGTTTTTGTTAATATCTAGTGATAACGGGTAGATATTGTGACATCAGGCATTAATATAGGGATATTGTACTCATCATTTACCATCACAACCTGTTGTTGAAAACGCTGGTGGATTTGCGATCGGCTCAAGTCTTGTGTCCCCATCAACCCCATCGATTCCCTGGATACCCTCGGGGAACTGTGATAATATGAGGCCAACGTTTTTACTCCCAGTCATTTGCTGTGTGACACGCTTAGCCCTAGTGTCGGCGTTGCGTTAGCGTGACACGTAGCTGGACCGTGGGTTTCATTTTGACGGTGTAATGTGTGTTCAATGCAAACATGTTGCTTTTTCCCATGGTGCCGGCGACAACCGGTGAGATTGATACCTTGTCACGACTTTGTTTGGATGCCGATTTCATAAAGTTTTCGATACTGTGACTAGTTATGTGCTTGAACTGGTATTTACTCGAAAATCGTGAATGCGCTTCATTTTGTGACGATGTTTCAATGTGGGCAATATTCTGTGGTGTGGAGACATTTGAACCATCGGCTTGGCACTAGTCAATGTTTTATGCGGGACGTGAACTTACTGCAACATTCCCCATTTAGGTGTTGTAATATTTACCATGACATGTGCCTTTTATGGTAACTGTGAGTAACGTATGGTAACGCAGAGGTTCACGTTGGATTGAGCATCGCATGTTTTAGTGACCCGTGGAAAGCCTTTGGTAAAATACGTAATACAAATTACCGAACCATGTCATACACGACTTTCAAGAGCGACCTTTGTCTTATTCAAAGCAACAGGTGACCGAGCGAGTAGGGATACAATTAGCACGGTCATCGACGCCTTTATTGCAAATCAGGAACTCGCCGTCTTTTTGTCAACCACGTGCCCAGATAGGGGAGCCGCTATTCTGTAACCCAGTAACGTTTACAGGAATCCGTTCGTCCTGTCGATAGATCAAAGACCGGTCGTCTTCTCGCTGGACGCCAAGTCAGCCGCGACAGAGCTGTAACGAAAGTTCGATTCAGCACGAGGAGCTTCGGTGATTTGAACTCGAGTTGATGCATTACTCAGATGACCCATGAGTCTGTATCTAGTTCGTCGTCGGCATTTATTCGTCTCATATCGAATTATGGGCTGTTTTCTTTTTAACAACTCTATGTATTATGAGACGTCCTACTGGATTTTGCGGTCGGTTTCCCGTCCGGTCACCCGGACAATTAACCCGCTGGTCCTGTCATTGCCTCTCCATTTCTTTTTCTTATCAACCTGCAAGCTCCCTCGTGCGCAAGTTGTCTGGACCAATCGCCAGTGACTTTGTCCACCTAGCCGGGTGGCGCCCTCCTTTCTCTAACAGCGTACTCTGTTCTGAGCAATTGATCAGGAAGCTAGCCTCTCGCTGGCTCTAACCCGAGTATTTATAGCGTGACATTGAAGCAGCGTCGCAGCCAGCGCCAGAGCTGGCATCGCCAGCCACCAGCTGATTCCACCAGCTGATCCCGCCAGCTGTCCGGCGCTGTCCGGTACGTCACGGCTCCGAGAGGCCCGGCTGGCAACAGACGGTGGAACTCACAGGGATAGCCGGGGGACCGCCCCATTCCACTGTATAAATGATAGCCCACTTCTTGGCCGGAGGCAATGCGGTATCTTGGAAGTGTGGTGTGGGAGATTCTAGACGCAAACGACGTCTGATTGTTGTTCTAGATGACGTCAAGTATCATTTATGATGTTTACGGGATGGTCCAGGCTTAGTTGCTATGGGGACTAACAACGCTAGCAGCTTCTGAGGAAACGAGTGATGCCACATAAACCGTGACCAAACTCTGTAGCAGACGTTTTCATGAAAGGTTTAGCACATCGGCCTGATCTCACAGTTTCATGTAGCTATCGAGCGAGAGTGTGTCACTCGGTACGTGAAACGACAAACCCGCGTCGATACCAGTGACATGCCACCGGGTTTATGAGCTAACCGTAAGATTGGTACCCGGAGAACAGTGCCGTGCTCCGTTACTCGTATGGGTCAATGTCTTCTCTCAGCTGACTGGGGTGGTTGTAACCACGTGTCACGTCACGTGTAACACAGCGTCACGTGTAATACATGGGTGATGGAGCTTGAATGTGTCTGGAAATCTACTTCGGAAGGCATTTGCGTTTGATATTGCCGAACGACGACCTGCTTCTCTGTTGAACGCCTCGATTAATCGAATGTTTCGCAGTTAGTCGAGTGTCTCATTGACGCTGCATCTCCCAGTGGACAGTGGGTTACTCCTACATCTCGCTACTTCAATCGGGGATCACAGCATCGAAAGCAATTGCGGGCAGAACAATTGCCTCCGACAACCTGGACGACGTTGTCAGTGCTATTTGTATCAGAATAGGATTCCTCTCGGTGTGACAAAGGCCAGACTGTCGACGTTCGTATTCGTATTCACATACATCAGCGACAAGGAGCCGGGCCCACTCCGCGTGAACGATAAAACGACATTTTGTGTTTTAATAAATTATTAAACGTACACATTTCACTATCACATTGTGCTACAATGAAATTCGGATTTAAGTCCGTTTGAAGCCGGGAGACGCGCGGCGGGGGTGCAGGGGTCTGTCTCGCTTGCGGCGGGCTGCAGCGCGCGGCGCCCGGCCGCCCGGCGCGGCCGGTATATGGCACCTGAGGTGGGCGGGGCGCAGCAGCCGCACGAGATTCGACACGGCGCCGGTAGGCGGCAGCACTGCGGCGGCGGCGGCGGCGGCGGGGCAGCTACTGGTGAGTGATGGGGATGTGGCCGCTGCCGCCCTCGAGCGCCGGCAGCGGCGCCTCCACCGTCAGGATGCCGTCCTTGGAGAGCGACGACTTGATCATCTCCGGGTTGGAGCCCTGCGGCAGCAGGAACTCGCGGTTGTACTCGCGGTAGACGCTGCGACTGTCTGACTTCTCCTCGTGCTTGGCGTGCACCTGGGAACGGACACAGGGGGAGAGGTCAGTCGATGGACTTCGAGTAATGGGCAGAGCTGAGGGAGACAGACGGAGCCTTGGCGTGCACCTGCGAACGGACACACAGGGGAGAGATCAGTTGATGGACTTGGAGTGCCGAGCGGAGAGCTGAGCGAGACAGACGTGCGCCTGTGGACAGGACACACAGGAGGAGGACGGGTCAGAACACGGACAGCTGAAGGCGCTGACAAGATGACGCCGACAGCTCGAAGGATGGGCAGGACGGAGCCCAGCTCAATAAATGGCGAGACAGGAACATCAGCTGAATGAGTGGATGGAGAGGACGAGGGAATCCTGCACAGGCTCACAGCGTGAGTAAAAAACGCGACAAAACTGAACTGGATCAGCACCACGTCATTAGCATTTGACATAGGTAAGCACTCAACATAGCAGGAATAAGTTCGTCGTTCCACATAGAACCACGATTTTTCATCCACCAATAGCAAGCGAATTCTACAAAACCGCAACACACGTCGACATTTCTGAGCATTTGCTGATTTGAGTAGGTACAGCAAGTTTTTACCGGAGTACAATCAACTACGTAACAGCGGATACACGAGCCAGGTGTGACCTGATTGCATCGTTGCTGCTGAATTTCAACTGTTTATGAACTTTCCTCAAGCAAAAACAGACTGGACTTGACTCGATGCGCGCTTATTGGATCTTATTCAAGCCCCATTGATGGAATTTACGGGGCCTGGTTCGACGATTCAGTACCGGAAAATGTTCCGTGATATGATGCACCAACATGGAATCTGTGAACGTCGTCTAGCCATCCCCCCACATACAGAGAAACTCCCAAATCATCACGCTGCTCTGGAGTCTGACCCAGTCCAACTTATACAGTTACAAGACAATCGGTTCAAGGCAATCGACCGCTCCCAGTTGAAATCAATGACCGCGACTATGACGTCATGTAGCGTCAGGAAGGATGACGTCACCCCGTGTGACGAGAGACTGACTGCTCCCCGGCTCGCCCCGCTGAGATAGATGACATCACGGCGGCTGACGGGCCCAGCAGTGTGACTCAGCGCCGGGTCAGCGGCATTGTGCAAACCTCAGGGCGTGGCGGCTCCGAATCGGCTGTCGGTGACAGGTCGGCACCGAATACCGATGAGAACAGGGCACCGACAGACCGGTGTCGAGAAGGGAGGGGAGCGCTCCGGCAGGTCGAGGGTCAGAGGATACGCTGGGTGGGGCAGGGGAGTGGCGTCGGCTACTGGTGATCGGCACCGCTCACTATCGCCTTTTAATCAAAGAAAGGTGAGGGCTTAGCGCTGATAAAATACAATACTGATAACCTAGTAGACCTTTCCGCGTTTTCTTGTGAAAATTGTCCATTGTTGACTACAGAAAGCCTCGATGACACTGTGACAGGGGCATTATTCAGCACAGCACTAACGAAAACAACAACTGTAGTTTGTTTTCATCTCCCTGTCCTATCCGACCTGGCTGGAGTTCCGGTGTGGGCTTCATGCCAGTTTTCTCTTGATCTTGGACAGCCGAGCTGGCAGGTTGGCCCGGGAAACACAATATCGCCAAAAATCGGCTAAACAAATAGCATTCCGTTCTATTTGATTGCATCGAACTGCGACTAAGCCAACAGACTGGCTGCTGGTTTAGATACGAGTTACGACAGTTAAATCCTGACTTAATAAACAGGCGGTTAGCCAGCGGCGCATGTTATTTGCCGTACGATTAGCACCGAGAGTCATTCACGTAATACTGGAGGACGTGACCATCAGACCGAAGGTATGCCGTCAGGGACGGCATTCTCACTGGGAAAAGGGGCGGGATTGCAACTTGTCTGCCTCAGTCTAACCACAGACCGCCCTTCGAGAATGACGTCACGCTGATCGGCTGTTCGATGTCTGGACCGGCACTTTTTGCCACGTTTCCAGTGTCTGTGACGTGGCCGAATATGACGAAGAGTCATGCGGTGGGCTGGTCCGCATCCTGGCCATTATTTCCTCGAAACGTCTACCAACAAAAAATCGATGACAAGAATGTTCCACGCCCTTCAAGTCAATAAAGGAGCCGCATCTATTCCTTATCTTCCCTCACATTCGATAGCCATAAAATGTGCCGGGTTTACGTCAGTTCACATAGGTATCGCTCGGCCCCTCCTCGCTGAAGTCATATGGATGAAGCGATGGGGAGAGAGGAGGGGAGAGGAGAGAGGAGCGATGGTGACATCCGGGAGCAGGGCACCCATCTCCATTATCCACCATATCAGCGGCTGAAAACGAGCTGTTCTCAGTCGCCGCGCTCGTTCGTGACAAACTCGTCTAACTCAGCGAGTTCAGCTCAGCAGGGAGGAGCACGAACGGGGTAGGGTGGGGCAGGAATCCAGCGTTGGGGAGTGGGGCGAGACCACTGGAGACGACCACAGGAGGGCGGTATCGCGGTCACCTTTCCCAGCCCATCCCTGTCGACAGCGAGCTGTGACACCACGCTGACAGCCCACACCGATCCAGTCAGGATGAGTCATCATTCAGCCGCAACGGTCCCACTGGTGCGCGCACGCGACTCCCCCCCCCCCCCCACACACACACACAGCGGCCCGACGCCTGCCGGTCCGGTCTGCTGTGACGACCTTGGCCGTTACTCGATACGCCGGGGCGACCCCGCCCTGTCACCGGAGCGAACCATTAGCGACAGAGTAGAGTGACCCGCGGCGCCGTCACCGACACCGGGCGTGGCTCTCACGCGAGAGATCGACACCCATCAGCCGGCCGACACGGCGCTTTTTCTCTGTCCATCGCGTCCGTTTGTGAGTGTTGGTTCAGGGGAGAGAGCCGAGGCCCGCCCGTAAACCTGCGGCCGGTGGAAAATGGTAGAGGGCGGGCCAGCGCCGGTCGCTCTCTCCCTCTCTCTCTCTCTCTCTCTCTCTCTCTCTCTCTCTCTCTCTCTCTCTCTCTCTCTCTCTCTCTCTCTCTCTCTCTCTCTCTCTCCACACCGGTCCACCACCCACACACACTCTCCCTGTCCCGTCCGATTCTTCGTCGAGCCACCACGAAGCGAGTAAGTAGGTGTCCGGAGATTTTAAACCCGGAGAAAGCGAGAGGACGCATGCGGAGACCGAGACCGTCCCTTCTCACACCTAAGACATGCTGCAGCCAGCATGGATATGAATTAGGCCACCACATGCAACCATTGGTAGTCCATTAATGCCTCAACTAATCACTGAGCGAATGAAGGCATCCATTTGGTTACGTAACGTAACCAACATTTGATGCCCAGTCGATAGTCACCGTAGTTATGAGTCATTATCCTATACATCTACTGGAGACAATCAGAGAAACCCGATACAGCCATGTGACTGACATTCGAATAGATTAACGACGCATATTTACTAAGTTGGTCTGGCTGCAACGGTCATAGAATATTCAGAACGAATTACAGCAAAAAGAAAAAAGAAAAAATCTCCAAAAAGACCTGTGAAATTTTACTAGCATCTTAGACACTGTTGATCTTTGATGTAAAACATGCGGAGGACGTGTCCTTCTATGAGCCACCAAACTCGTGGTAGCCGGGTGCGGCACAGGGGGTGCGCGCGATCAGTCCTGTTATAGGGTGCCGCGCCGCTGTCCTGTCGACAGACGGGGTCACAGGTCGCGGGGTCACGTCCCTGCGACCCGTGGCGGCGGGAGTTCGACCGGCCCTCCCCTGCCGCCATCAGTCAGCATTCGCTCAGCGCGGCGCGGCGCCGGTCCAATGAATAATAACGGCAGAAGGCGCCGCCACCAGAGGCGAGAAGTGCCCACGCACAGAACGGGACAGATGTGGCGGCGGCCAGCGCTCAGTCAGACCAGACTTGTCACAGTTCAGCTGCAGCGTCCGGCAGCCATGGGGGGACCGGCGTCTTGGTTAGTGGCCCGAGTCAATGAGGAAGGAACAGGAAGTCGGACTAAATATGATACCGTGCCAGTACCACGAAGCCGGAGCAAAACCACCTCATCTACGGCTAAATGGACCATGTAGTGTGTGGAGCTCCTTTGAAAACGGCGGCGGGTGTTCACTCGTCCACCCTGAGCCCACATACTACAGCCAACGAGTTACACCGACAGCCCGGCGTCAAACGAAGCCGGCCCGGTCTGAGCGGCTGCCAGCCCTGTGACAGGAATGCCCGAGCTGCCAGCCTATGTGCCAGCCGGTGTCAAGACGCTGCAATGGGAGGGGCGGCAGAGAAAGGGGCGAGGTGTCTGGCGGATGGGATGGATAGACAGGCCGGGGAGGGGAGAGGGACAGAGAAGCTCACCGGCGTGTGTCACAGGATCCGAGTCGTCTCTCCCCCCCCCCCCCCTCCCCATCGCCGCTGTGGCTGGAGCGAACAATGGAGCCGCCTCGGACAAAGGTATTGAGATCATTCGGTGGCGCCCGGCTCGAGGCCCGCGACCGGCAGGCAGGTGCACGGGACTGACGCTGGTCGACGCCGGGCAGGCTGAATACGAGAGCAGGGTGTGCAGGAAACCGCAGCAGCACGAAGGTGAGGCGACAGGCAGGAGACGGCAGAATAGAGGAGGAATAGAGCTGAGGCGACAGAATAGAGGACGGAGCACGCTGCCCTGTATGGCACTAGAGCTGCCGTGTGCTGCGAACTTCAATACCAGTACCTACACGTCGAAGCTTGGTAAATAGTTAGGTAGGTTATCTGGAATCTATCAGTAAAATATCTTATCATCGCGAAAAAAAATTCGAGCTCCCAGATCCGAGTTCGGCCGTATCGAAGAACCAAATGAAAACAAAGAAATGGTGACAGGAGAGAAGTTACAAAAGCGCGCTCGTGTATCATACAATAGCGATTGTCTCGCTAGACCGGAATACTCACCAGGAGCTTGTTGTCGACGGTTTTGACGACAATCTCCTCGGGCTTGTACTGGCTAACATCGAAACGCAGTTTCAGCTGCTTCTGATCGCCCTCCTGAAACGACGATGCGGGAACGTCACAAAAACGAGCACGCGAAACAATGCCGCGCGGAGACTGAGCAGTGAACACCTTAGAAATTTGCATCAGTGACTGAGTGGATATGCATATTGGTGAATCTTCCCAGGTCTGAAGAAGATGGAACGATTACGGGCCTAATCAGAGGCACCTCGCCGGCTTCAATACAGTACGCGACCTTCCTTTGGTGTGCTCACAGAGCCAACTGCGGCGCAGTCGATACCTAGGGCAGGTTGGGTCACTGAATTTCGGCTCTCAGATCGGTGGAAAGAGCGGGGAGTCAATGGACATTAGACATCGGTCATCGGCTCACGCCGCGCTAGCTAGAAGGGAATTGCTGCAGAGGTTTTCGAATTTTTTTTTGACATTTGTTTCCATTTGATGGGTCAGGAACAGGGAGCAGAGGCTAGCAATGCTCGGGAAAACTACAAGAGCCCAGAGGCCCATTCTCCTCATTCTTAGCTAGCGTCGAGAACAACCTGTGAGTGATCTGAGCGATCACCATCTCCCGACAAAACTGATTAATGGATCCCCTCCAGGGGCCATTTGGGGGATTAATTAACATTCAGTGATCACCACCAGGGGCCAGGCATTAATTTACGGTTTATCACTAAAATGACATTTGAATATCGGGCCTTAATGAGCCGATGTCTCAATAAATCAAATAAATCACGAGCCGATAGCATGGCGTGAGATCACGTAGTTTCACACTCGCGAACTGACATAGGTAAATACGATAGGACGTAGGTCCGTCATCTGAGAAGTTGATGGCGAGTTTAGGCTGTAATACATGCGTACGGCTCTCGAGAGATTAAGCGGTAGGTTTTGCACTTTTACATGTCCGGTTATATCTCAGAAACTAATCGATCTACGATGAAGCCATTTTACACGATCATGGCCGGCTTGTGAGCCAACAAGCCGATCGCATCTTCAACACTTAAGACGGCGTCTTAAAAGCTTAAGACGACGAAGATGTAGCCTGAAGTACACTAAATTTTCTAGGTGCAAAACCTACCGTTAAAACCCGCGAGACCTGTACATACGTCCTGTATGAGGGGCTGAAGGACAAGCTCAGGTTGTAATGCGTACGTCCTGTATGAGGGGCGAGTTCAGGTTGTTACAAGGGGCGAGTTCAGGCCGCTACAAGGATGAGTCCAGACTGTATTACGTACGTCCTGTATGTCGGGCGAGTTCAGGTTACAATACGTACGTCCTGTATGAGGGGCGAGTTCAGGTTGTGATACGTACGTCCTGTATGTGGAGCAAGTTCAGGTTACAATACGTACTTCCTGTATGAGGGGCGAGTTCAGGTTGCGTGATGCGTACGTGCTGTATGAGGGGCAAGTTCAGGTTACAATAACAATACGTACGTCCTGTATGAGGGGCGAGTTCAGGTTGCTATGCGGGGCAAGTTCAGGTTGTGATACGTACGTCCTGTATGAGGGGCGAGTTCAGGTTGCTATGCGGGGCAAGTTCAGGTTGTAATACGTACGTCCTGTATGAGGGGCGAGTTCAGGTTGTCCAGCCAGGTGGACGGGTCGGAGCGCGGCGCCAGACTCGATCCGGGGAAGCCCGACTGCTGCTGGGATGTGGTGCTGAAACAAAACAACAACGCACCGTCAGACGAGAACAGGCCATACAAATACCAGCAGCTGGTCAATGCGGATCATGTATCATGGTGCAGAGTATCATGGAGCACCACATCAGGGATATCGAGGGATATAGGTTTCGGGGAGGTGAGTATCTCAGCCAGTGTCGCGGCAATGCGCAATAGAAACGGGTGGCAACAGGGGTTTACGGCTATCTATGACGGGTGATATTCTAATCCAAGCCAGGTGAGGTGTAAATGGAAGGGTTGAGACGTAAATGGATATCCAGCCAGTCTAGCCTCCACCACTACGCCACTTTCCCGAGAGAAAAGGCACGTAGTACAGTGGTATACAACACATCGTTTTGCCAATGAGATAAGTGCACTGATGATTCAGTCCTGTCTCGATAGGTGCTGTTAGATCGCTAAAAATGCGTTCGAATTCGCCTGGAGTCAAAGGGGTCGGGCTTCTTCAACATTTCAACTAAAAGCCCTCAAATCACCCACGGTCTGTCAGGCCGACTAGTCTAACAATGAACGAAACTCAAGAGACGTATGCATCTTATCAGCAACAGCTGAACATTTTGTCAGCATTTCACATCGTTGTGTCACCTTCCCACTCCCCCACCTCTCCCGTCTGTGCGAGCATCGAGCAGCAGACGGTCTACCTCCCGGGCCGGCCCGGCGCGATGCACCTCTCAGAGACGTGATTGAATGAGCGCCTCGCGCCTCATGCGGCTTCCCTGCGCCCGCCGCCTCCTCGGCGCCTCGGCACACACAGATGATGGAACGTCCGGGTCTCACAGAGGAGAGGCGGGAGCAGAGAGAGGATGGGAGCTGAGAATGACGTCATCCACCGCCCTCTGAGACACACATCATCACGGGAGCGGCGGGAGGGGGTTGGGTCACCGCGGGAGTGGCGATGGAAGAGCAGGGGAGCGATATGGGAAGAGGATACATCACGACAGAGGGGGCGGGCGGATATCGTCTGAGTGGTCCACGTGAGTCATCGCTGGGCGCAGCATGTGCTGAGCAGCATCTCATCGGCATAACTGCTGCACGCAAACAGCATGCCCAACATCCCGCGAATGATGGGCGGCTGTAAACCACCAAACGAGCATCACTGATGCGTCTCTGCAAGGCACTGGAACGAAGACCATAGTAGAACAAGAGCCCAGGCCTTTGCCTCGTCGACGTCGCCAAAAGAGCAGGATGACGCACCAGTTCGTCCAGCACACACATCCCTTCATTATGCCTGCAGACATCAACATACAAGCGCCGCATGTCACCACACGCCCAGTGCGCATCGCGTCAACACCGACAGCCGCCGACAGCCGCGTCTCTGGGGCGCCCGGCAGAGGTGTGCCGACGCCCGACAGCCCCGGGCGCCCGGAGAGGTGTGCCGACAGCCCCCAGCGCCCCTCCCTGCCCTGTGGGGCAACGCCACCGGCCGTCGGGACCCAGACAGGCAAACAAACGCTCGGGCGACCCGCCAGAGCGCCTGCGGCCGGCCGGCTAGCGGTGGTTAGGCGGTCGGAAGGTCGGCGGTCGGACGGTCGGCGGTCGGCGGTCGGGAGGTCGAGAGGTCGGCAAGCTGGGCGGGTCCAGCGACCGTCCGGGCCAGGGCGGGTCGTCCCGTCACGGCAGACGGTCAGTGATGGCCGCCATGTGTCACCCACCGGCTCTGAGCGGTCCCGCACGCGACAGCACCGGCTCGTTTGAGGTCAACAGGTTAGAGTTATTGGCAACAGACAGTGGGTTTATATCATGGTGACGGTGGGGGAGAGACAGCATCAGTCGCCAGGAGATAATAGAGGATGAAGACTGACCTCCCGAAAAAACAACAGGTCACTCTCGAGGTCAAGGAAAGGTGACAGGTTGAGTCCAGAGTCAGAGACCGAGACAGCGGGGTCGCCAGACGACCGAAACTTACAAATCCATTACGTCATTCCTAAGACCAGTCGGAGTATCGCCTGATGATGACGAGACATAACGTCAGCGCCAGCGGGCTCGGCCGGGCGCCCCTTTGAGGCCCGGCAGACGCCCGGGGGCCACTGTCCGCCCGAAACGGTTGGTAGTCGTCAGAGCAGCGGTTTGTTGATTCGCAGACCGGCCGACTCGCCCGCTGCCGCCGGCACGGCTGTAAACACCCAGCCAGCTCCGCAGCAAACCTCCACCAGACTTTATGAACGAAATGCCACAAAACTATCGGAATAACCTCGCGACTTTTTTCCTTCCAGAAAGTCGCGGCCGCCGTTTCATATTGACAGTTTGCCCGCCGTCTTTCCTGGTCCCCTCGGCACGAACCGGGTGTTCATTGAGCGGCGGCAGCACGGCACGCCGGCCCACCGGCGCCAGGTATGGAAGGGTGGCGAGCTATCGATCGCCCGTGACGTCACTAAAGTGCATCGTGGCACGTGACGTCACGGCCCGGTTCGGGACGGGGTCCGGGGCGCGCCTGAAGTTATCCGGTTGTAAACGACCAGCGTGCAATCGGCGCTGAGAGGTGAGCTCCGTAACTTTAACAATATACAGCGCCGCTCGGTTCTGCACAATAAGTTCTCACTGTTCAGGAAAGGTGTTTTGGTTTGGACCAACGATTGACTGCACTGCCGCGGTGTGGCGCGTTCCTGGACCCCCAGTCGTTGCCGTGTTGTGCCGTGCGATGTCATTATTCGCGCCGCGCCGGTGCCGGGTGGGGTTACCTATTCGGGTCACGTGTGGTCACCGCAGGCGGCGGGGCCGGTTACAAACGTTTGCGACACACGACCTTCAGGCCGCGCACGGCGTGACAACGTAACTGGCATGCACCGGCGTGCAGGGCCGCTCAATACAAGGTGCACGTGACTAAATAATTCAGCGCCCCTAGTTCACGCTTAATGAGTAGTGAGTGGCAGTGCTTCAGAGGAGCGCGATGAGCGCCGATATTTAGAGTAGTTAAGTCCTATGGACACGGCAATAAAATACTACATGCTCGTAAGCAGGTCGATCCACAAAGGTCGCAGATGCAGATTAAACTATTCGATCAAGTCAGTGGAAATCACCATCCCAATTACCTACATCGACACTCGACAGTATGTTCCCCCAGCCACCATCACACAACCAGACGAAATACCCACCGGATAGCAGCCAGCCGGTCCGGTCGGAATGCCCCACCAAACTGCTCTGGGGATAAGGAAGTGAGTCCGGTCCCGTATTAGGCATAACAGGTCTGCGATGCCGGCGATACTGTCTCCCTCCGATCTGACGTGGGCACGCCGAGACCGGTGGCGCCGCGCCGCTCAGAGGGCGGCGAGCTCCGACCCGTCTGGCTCCAGCCTGCGCGCCACGCCGGCTGCCAAGAACCGTCGGCCGTTTGTGCTGCATACCCCGCCGGCCGGCGGCCGATGTGAGCGACAGACGGGAGATGCAGGGTGGGGCGGAAATACCCCTCCTCGTCAACCCGACCTGGCCTCGGGCGGCCACAGGGCATCCCACAGGCACACGTGGCTGGCACGGAGAGGGGCGGCAGTGGCACATGAGTTGGCACCGCGACTCGGTGGTTTCCGACAAGAACCCACAGCTTGCTTTGAGGCACAGCAGGTCGGGTGTCGCCAATGTCTGAATATGAACACCAGTCGCAGACACTACAACTGAGAGCTCCATGAAGCATCAACTTCCCCGCTCAGGCCAGACGCAACGGGGCCACGTGGTTGCACGCATGAATCCTGCAGAATGTGCAGATGCCGCGTGCACGCATGAATGCTGCACTATGTAGATGCCGCGGACAGCAGCCGCACAGCATTTAAACCCACCGATCGATGCATGATATTGCTCAGGAGCGGTGACCTAACGTCGCCGTTCGGACCAAACCACCCCGAATAGCTGATTGAGTGACGGATGGAACCCTGTCACAGCGAACCTTACCATCGTCATCCGGGTAACAGGCATGAGATCATGACTGTTCCACCCAGAAACGCCAGCTCACAACGCGAGCGGCTGACAGCCTGCGACAAACCGTTCCAGCCTCCTGACTGGCATGACAGAGTCGTGACTGACCACAACTTGGGCTACGTGGCGACAAAATTCACAGGGCGACCGCGAGTTGCACATATCAATAACGGTGATCGGTCGGTGTCACTATCCGCACCATCTGTATCCCAGTTCTCCCGCGGCACCACCGTTACCGTCGCTGTTACCGCCGTTGTTATTGTCACCACCCAGTGATTCAGGTGAGTATATCCTGTTCGCAGCGGTCTGCATCTCGACGATACGCGGCGTGCGGATTTCCAGGGCCGTGCCGACGAGCCGAGACAGTGAGCCGTTACCGACGCCACGGAGAGGAGGGAGCAGCGAGGGAGCCTCGCGTGTACCGGCACAGGAAGCTATAAATAGGCAGCCGGGCGGACGGCGACGGTCGGTTGGCGGAAGAAATAAACGACGGAAGAGCTGGTGCACCAACACGCGGGCGGCGGAACGCGCAATGGGGAAACACGGGACGGCGGCACGCGGTGGAAAAAGAGATGGCGATGAAAGAAGGAGACAGGAGGAGGAAGCCGTCATTCTCACAGGAAGCATTCATAGGATGCACCGTGTGATAACAGTGTACAATGCAGTGCAGGAAGAGGCACCCAGAGAGTCCTTCGTGATTCTCTGCATTTTGTGGTGAGATGCGACGTACGGTGGCCCTGTGACGCCCGTTCCATCACAGCTGTGATGCGTGCGTCATCACCTACTGTCGCGGGTGTCCGTCCACCTGTACCGCCTCAGTCACCCTCACACACGCGACTCGCCCGCGGCGCGCTGCGAGCATATATGTAGGAGACGCATGACACCTGAGCGGAGCGGTGGAACGCGCTCAAGGACACGGGCCGCGGCTAGGAGGGAGCCGACTTGTGGAGCCTGCGAGAGGAGACGGCAGAGCACAAGGCATCCAGCGGCTCACGCGGCAGCCGACAGCACAGCCCACCCACCGGCAAACGTGACGTCAGCGGGAGAGAAAACGATAAACAAATAACGACACGTCAA